AGAGAGAGAGAGAGAGAGAGAGAGAGAGGGAGAGGGTGGGGATTGAAATTTTCAAATGATTCATTAAGACCTGTTTTGGTGGTCTGGATGAAATGGCTCCCAAGATGGTCAACCTCCCAATATTCATCTGTCATCCTTTCTTTGTGTGTCCTGTCTTCTTTGGTTTGCTCTTATAGAGAAGAAGCAGGCTGGACTGTGCTCAGGAATATTCAAGTCACTGAAAAAACAAATTCCCATTGTAAAAAATAAAATAATGTCTGGTTTGTATATTAGCCTTTTGGTATATGAATCTTATTAGCGTGAGTCAGTCCCTGAAAAGCTAATGTTTTCTTAGAGTCCTGGGAAAAGAATTTCTAATCTCCCAAAACTGAAGACCTATGTGCACAGCATGCTACCTTTGAAAGCCTTGTTTGGAGGGTGGTTGGAATCATGGCATATCCAACATGTCTTTTCTGACTGCTACATGGTTATATTCTTCTTTAACTAGGCAGAGGCTATCTCTGATGTCACTTACCTGTAGTTACATGTCTAAGTTGCAAGGTATGAAAAGGCAAATAGCAGAAATCATATCCTGGAAAGTGGATATGGGCTATTGAAATTAGGCTATCAATCAAGGGACTCAGTGAGCAATGTGTTTAGAGGAGTAGTGCTGGAAAGTTTTGTTTTAATTATCACATAAGTCAAAGGGACAAAAATCAACTTACAAATACTTGAGCATATTTTGATGGCAAGAACATCACAGTCAAGATAAGTCAGGCTTATGCTGTGCTAACAACTCCCAAATTTCAGTGGCTTAACATAGAAAAATTTATTCTAGCTTTCACAGAGTCTCCATGAGTCAGTGGGAACTGTGAATAGAAGGAGGGCTCTGCTCCACTTACTCACTCAGGAACCCAGGTTGATGAAGACTCCACCACCTGGAATGTCAACAGTTGCTGCAACAAGGGAAAAGAGAAACTGGAGGATCATGTAGGGGCTTTTCAAACATTATTTCCTCTAGCATTTTATTAGCCAGAATATTAGTCACATAGCCCTCCTATTTCAAGGGGATTGGGAATATAGTCTTCTGTGTGCCCATCACAGGCATGCCACACAGCATGGGTAACCAAGGGGAGCAGATGTGATTGGCAGTAAATCAGTGAGGGCAGAGCACTAGCTTGAGAAAGAGGAAGGACAGCATGTCTGCTTCCTGATAGTTCGCCTAATTATCTGTTTGAGCTATCCCAAAGTTCTGCCAATTAAATAGCTAAGAAACTCTCTTATTAATATTCTATTAAAATAAGCCAGGGAGCTGCCACCCAGAGCCATTTATATCTAATTATTTCATAAATGCAGAATAATTTCTATCCTATGACTCTGTCTCTACCACTGTAAGAGCCAAATTCCTAAAAGCATCCTATAGGAAGAGAGGTGGGGGCATAATATACTCAGGCCTCTTCCCTTTGTTGTTAAATCTGTTGACTTTAGAGACACCACTTAACCACTAGTTACTTAAGAAAACTAACATAACCCAAGTAATTTTAATAGTCCTACTCTCCTGCCTTAACTGACAACACAGATACTCCCTATGCCCACATGCCAAATAAGGACATCGGAGGATGAGGCGGTCAGGAGAGGAGAAGCAGCAGTGCAGAAGTGGCCTGAGTGATCCAGAGAAGGCATGCCAGTGGGTGTTCCCAAGGTTTCAGCAAACCACTGGAAGGTTTGGCTAAGTCAGATCCATTCAGAGAGGTTAACATGGGATGAATAGAGAAGAAACTGTCGGGGCTGGGGAGCTCTTCAGGCCCTTATATTTTGGCGGTGAGAATAGAATTCACTAATGGTTTGTGATACCTATGGACTGAATTACATTTTTCTGTGACCCAAACCTGACAAAATCTTGGCCAACATGGAAGAGGGCTCTGGAGTGAGAATCACCTGTCAGTGTTGTCCCCATCAGGCCAAACTGGCTGGGCCCTTGTGCTCCCACCACCCTCAGCCACTGCCTGTGGACTGCCTTAAAAAAGGCATGACATCATGCAAGCACTCCTTGTAGGTAAGTATCAACTCAATCCTCAGAGGGTGTGTAGGCAGCACATCTCCATGTCTACCACAAGCTTTTTGCCCATAGTACTCTCTTTGCTTTGATTTTTACCTTGAGAAGAACTCCAGAGATCTAGTCAGATTGTAAAGTTAGACTGTCTGGAAACTCCAGCAAATATATCTGTCTTGGATGGAAAGGCTGGAGTGTAATCAGCTTTGTTGGTGACCCATTTCCCCCTTCCCCCCATCACTGGTTAGCTACTAAGCAGATTTTCTTCCCTGAGGGCTTTTGTGGGGAATACTGTACATCATGAGTTTTAGGAGAAACCATGGAATTTCAATATTCATTAGGAATTACCCTCAAGTAATGGGGAAGTAGAATTTGCTGCTTTTCAAGAGTCTTGGTTTGGGAGGTTGAAATTTATTGGACACCTACTGTACTTTATTTTACATAATATCAAAATTACCTTGAAACATTACAAAGTATTTATCAATTTCCTCACCTTGAAGAGGATAAATTTATGTTCAATAGAGGTTAAATACTTTCCCAAAATCTCAATACCAGGAAGCAAAAGCTAGAGAGAAGACCCCATGGGACAGGGTGTACAACAGTTTTGCTCAACACTGCATTCCTTGTACCTAGTAAATGTGTGTCTTAGAGCAGAGGGCCAATAAATATTTGTTGACTGAGTTATGGGTGGCAGAGTAAGTATCCAAAATCATATATATGTCACTTTAAAAATGTAAGCCTTTCATTATTTTATCATGTGAAATACACAGCTTTCAGGAAAAGTTGTGAGATTAACGTTAAGAAATATGCTTTGGTTTAATCAGAAAACACAGTCTTGTGGTTTAACTTCTGCATTGTGATGCTTCTCTGACTCTGGTCATCCAAGGGGCAGATGCAGGCAGATGCAGCTGTCTTCATGCAGTAGAGGCATGACTCCACCACATGAAGTGTTGGGGAGAGAACAATTTATAGGAATGGTCACTGAATTACTTGTTATTCATCATCTGCATTCACTTTTAGAGAATGGTTGGAAATTCTACGTTTCAGGAGTCAATTGTGATCAATGAAGTATTAGATGGATTTTTGTCCAACTAATCTAAACCATGGTGCTCAGAATAGCATTACTTGCTTGTTTCTCAGATCTTTTTGTAAGAAACTGAGGGAAGGCAGTATCAGGACTGAATTGGACATCTGGCTTAGAATTTGCTTTCCGAACTCAAGAACCATACAAAGGGTGGATTTTCTGACCTTAGTCAATAGCTTCCTCTTCATGCATTCTTCCTCTTCATGGATTCTTAGTAAGCTTGTGATCTGAGCCATAACAGACCTTAGAGTGTCCACTGCTGTGCTGACCTACATTCCCATGGATTACCAATAATAGGATTAGCGACTCGGAAGCTGGGGCTATACTTATTCAAAATTCCCAAGATAGTTTTTTACAGAGGAATATGGCTTCAGTTTCTCACTATTTTCTGCTAGTTCTGGTCTTTCTGGACTCACGTGCAGCTCAGCCATCCTGTCTGCCAGGATGTACCTGCTCAGAGGAGAGTTTTGGCAGGTGCACTGTGCTGACAAGATTCCAGAGGGTGGTAGGGGATGGGCTTCCTTTGGGGATAATTTGGAGTGGAATCAGGCCTAGAATTTTCAGAAAATCAGAAAAAAATCTCTGTGAGACTCATTCTAGTTGTCCTGAACTTTGGTGAACCGTGCACTTTTACCCAAATGGGTCTAATGCTTTTATTTCAAGTGAATAATACTTTTTTCTTCTAATTCATATGTCTAATGCCAGGATAAACCTGATCCCACTTCCCATTTCCCTCTGCTCATTTTAGTGTTCCTGGTTTCTTGTATAGGACTCAGCAGTGCATATCCATCTCTTTGGGAAAGATCCCAGGCAACCTCCCTGAAGAGTTCAAGTAAGTGAGAATTGAACATTCATCCTTATTTGAATTGTCCCAAGGGTCTTTCATCAACATGAACATCTTTGGCTCAATTTTAACAATGTCACTGTGATTCACCTAGGAGCTCTGGAGCACCTGTCAGAACTGAAAGAACTGAGACTGGAGGGGAACAAATTTCATTTAGTACCATGGACAGCATTCCATGCCACCCCACTCCTCAGGGTCTTGGATCTCAAACACAACAGAATTGATGTACTCCCTGAGCTGGCTCTTCAATTTTTGGTCAATCTGACTTACCTTGACCTCTCTTCCAATAGGCTTACAGTTGTATCCAAAAGCGTCTTCCTGTACTGGCTGGCCTATCAGAAACACCAGCAGCCTGGCTGTGGGGCCAAGATTCTCTGCAGCATGGTGCTGGCACTACACAACAACCCCCAGCTATGTGACTGTCGCCTAAGGGGACTTGTTGAGCTTGTAAAGTCCATCAGCCTCCCAGTCATCCTGGTGAATCCCTACCTGATGTGCCAAGGCCCTCTCTCCAAGGTGGGGCAGTTTTTTCATGAAACAGAGCTCAGTGCTTGCATGAAGTCCCAGGTCTCAACCCCCAGTGCCAATGTCACCATCCAGGTGGGACAGAATGTAACCCTGCAATGCCTGGCACTGGCCAGCCCCTCACCAACCATTGCATGGACATACCCCATGAGCATATGGAGGGAATTTGATGGTAAGCCACATGCACCCTCTTATCAGAGAATGGGGAAGTCTGTAGCAAACCTGTCCTCAATAGAGAGGTTCTAAACTTGGTCAATCATGAAGGAACGGTGCCAGTAAGATTGGGACAGCTCTGAATTATACACATCACAGCAGAAAAGATTCCAAGACAGTGTTCACTATCAATGCATTATTTTAAATGGGTGCATACAGATCTCTATAAGATATATATACATATGTAAATAGATATCTTAGAGTTGACTTAACATATTGTGTAAATATTAGACAATGTATATGAACAAATATATTTTGAGGGCTTTCTAGATGCAAAAACTATACTGTGTTTTTTCAAATCATAGAATTTCTGACTAGTATCAATTCTAGAGGTTATCTATTATTTATATCTTAAACTTGCCTGAGCAGACTCACCTAGGGTACTTGTTTGAAATAAGATTTCAAGGCCCCTGCCTTGGAGTTTTGGATTCAATAAGTCTAGGGGAGGGCCTGAGAATATGTATTTTAACAAGCCTTCCCTGATGGCTCATCCCTTACCACCCAGCTATTTCTTCCACCAAGCAATTGAGAAGTTGTAGACACTGACTGAATTTTACACTTCTCTTCTGACCACTTTGTTGATCAGACCTTATTGGCTTCAAGTTGTAATACCAGGACCCAGTGAGAGGTGGGCCCCTGGGCCCCATAACTGAATTCAAACCTGCCTCTCATTTCCTGGAGCTCTGTGCTTGCTCTGTTTTTATATCTCAGCTGGAATCACCTTTAATGCCACCCTGGGTATTGGGGCACATCACAAAGCCAGTGATGGCCTCCCGAGGGGTATCTTGAAGCTGTCTAGAAGGCAACTTAGAAACATCTGAGTAAAATTTGAGAAATACAGCTAGTCACCCAGATATTTGTTACACATGGTGACAAACCTCTGGATGGTTCAAAGATACTGAATTAAGTGAAATTTTGACTTTTTCCTATCATTTTATGGATCACATCTTATTGGCTTGAGGTGAAATAGTAATGAAAGAGAAACATAGGATTTATTGTTGTAGCCTTTTTGAGAACAGTGAAGTGGATCTGGGTGTTATCTTTTGTGATGCTCTGTGATCAGTCTCCTTGGCACCATGTTATATCTATTCTTTCAGTAATAATAACAGCTAACATTTATGGAACACTTACTCAAATTTATGGAGTGAGTACTATTACCATGCCATTTTATTGATGAGAAAATTGAGGCCAAGAGAATCTAAGCAATTTGTCCAAGACCATATACCTAGTAAGGGATAGAACCCAGGCATTGGGCTGTGGGCTCTGAGCCACTCCACATCCTGAGGGCACTTCTTTTTTTTTTAATATTTATTGGGGAATTGGGGAAGGGGAACATTGTGTTTTTCCAAGACCCATCAGCTCCAAGTCAAGTTGTCCTTTAATCTTAGTTGTGGTGGGCATAAGCTCAGCTCCAGTCCAGTCACCTCTTTCAATCTAGTTGGGAAGGGGCATAGTCCACCATCCCAGGCAGGAGTTGAACCGGCAACCTTTTTGTTAGGAGCACATGCTCTCACCAGCTGAGCCATCCTACTACCTGTTGGCAGCTCAGCAGCAGCTCAGCTCGGGCGCAGCTCACTGGCCCAGGTGGAAATCGAACTGGCGACTCTGTTGCTCAGAGCTCGCGCTCTAACCAACTGAGTCACTCGGCTGGCCCAAGGGCACTTCTTGAAGCTCACAATATCGCAGTCCCACAATTGTGAGAGATTACCCAGAAACCACAGTGTTAGCTCAACAAGGCTAAGGTAGTTTGGTGGGGACAGCTAATGCAGCTGAGGATCTTCAATAGATAGAAGAACCAGGTTCCAGATCAATTGCTGCCTTTGAACAACACTCATTATGGGCAAGTTGCTTAATCACTACAATCCTCAAATTCCTATGTGTAAAGCTTGGGTACTTGTCTTATAGGGCTGCTGAGAAGCAAACACCTGACACCAAATATATGCTTAATAAGTGGTAACCACCACTTTTAACAAAAAAAATTGGCAGTGCTGGACACTCCAGATGTCTATCAGAGAAATGCACAGTTATTTTGCTCTCTCTCCACCCAGTGTTGACTTCATCTACCACAGAAGATGTTGCTCTGTCAGAGCTGGTCATACCTGCTGGTAGACAGGGGCAACTACACCTGTGTGGCTTCCAACTCCATTGGCAGGAGCACCACTGTCATCTCGCTCCATGTCCTGCCTGCACTCCAGCCTCTCTCCTCCCCCTTGGGGGACAATGCCGATGTTGACCTGCAGGTGGTCAAGCAGACAATGCGAGGGATCCTGCTGGAGTGGTTTGCAGTGGCCGACACCACTGAGGAGAAGTGGTTCACCCTCTACATTGCGTCGGACGTAGCCGTAAGGAAGGAAGTTGTCCACATTGGCCCCAGAATGGACACATTCTTGGGGGGCCAGCGTCCACACCAGGGCCATTGTGTGGTCTTTGTGACAGGCAGAGACCATGGCAGGCTGGATGTAAAGGAGCGTCTGCTGCACATCACAGTGGTCCTGTGTTCAGTGCTGCTCTCGGTGCCCGTGGGCACCTACATCTGGGCAGCCCAGGCTCCCTGCCGCTGCAGGCAGTGGTGCCGATGCTTCTGTCCTTGCCACAGGAAAGCCCCAGGTGCCCCCGTGCAGCCCCACAGCACAGGGAGGACTCCTACAGAGACCATGCAGCTGTCTGTGAGGATGGCCTGGGGTGCAGAGACACTGAGGAGGATGAGGAGAGAGAAGGAGAAGGAGGTAGTGGCTGAACAGTCTGGGCCAGAGGGTGGAATGGTGTGGGCCCCCAACCCCTGAACCGACCCTCTGTGGCAACTCAGCTTGGCTCGATCCATTTATTTAACAAGTATTTACTGAGCACCTGTTGGTTCCAGGCACTGAACTTGACACAGTGGACAGGGAGACACAGTTCTTATTTTCATGGAGCTGTTGCCAATGGATCTTTGTCCTATCCAAGTAATTGTTTTATTATACACGGTGTCTGGAAATTAATAAATTATATAATAAATTATATAATAAATTAATAAATGTTACTCTTTGCAGATATATAGCCCTATTACATGTTTACATGTAACATGCACATGTGACATTTCACATGTGTTATTCTATTAGAGAAAGGTGAAATTCTACAGGTGAACAAACTGAAGCCCAGAAAGCAACAATGACTTGCTCAACATCACCCATCTAGCAGGTGGTGGAGGCAGCACTCAAAAGAGGTTCTGATTCCATTGTTTCCTCTAAATGTCTGCTTTGCAGTATTCTTTTATCTCCTATTGTTCAGAAAGTGTTATTCTCCCTCTTAATGGCAAACTCCCAACAATTGCATAAGTTTGATGTTCCAAAGAGCTGCCCTTTGGATTCATAAGACCCTAGTGAGTGGTGTAAGTCCCTGAGTGTGGGTGTCTTTCCCTGTGAACAGTCTTTAGTGCTCCTGACAGCCTAGAGCCATCAGCACCAAGGAACAGGGGATTGGCTGCAACCTGGGGCCCAGGCTCCAGTGATTGTGGAAAGAAGAAACGCGAGAGCCATACACAGAAGAAAAGAATCTATATAAAATCATGTGACTCTCTCTATTCTTTTTTTTGCAAAGAGGAAGCTACACAGTCCTCATTCTCATCTAGTCCCATGAGATTGTGACCTTCAGGTTTATTGTTTTCAGCCCTGCGTCCCTAGCTAACGTCTGAGTGCTGAGCATGACAAATGTTTGTTATACGAATGAGGATATAATCCCTTCCCCTTTCCTTAGCCAACATTCCCTATGAAATCCCAGAAAGGTGCTCATTTCCTCTTATCTGGACTCACATGGAGTAGAGGGATCCCCGTGAACCCCAGAGACAGCTCACTGTCCCTCTGGGGAGCCCCGCTGGTGGAGACCTTTCTCTAGATTTAAACCCCCACCTGTCTCCCCACAGCTTCACCCACTGGAAACAGGAAAATCCCCCGAAGCTGGCCTCCTTGTGTAATCCCCACAAATGTTTTCTCCCTCCTTCCCACCTTCCTTACCAATTCCTTCTCATCCTTTTAGGCCTACCTTAAGTATCAAGTCCTCCAATTAGCCTTCCTTGACTTCACATCCCTGGGGAAAAGAAATAATGAATCCAGCAGGATATGCAATGTTTTCACCCTCTGAGGCAGAGACCCATCTTTCTTGCTGAAGCTACTGGACTGTTTTGATAATCAATGTTGGCTGAAATGAATTTTTAAAAATTGAAGACCTCTTTCACATTCAGACCAACTGTTTCCTCATTTCTTCAAGTTCTCATTTATTTTTTTCTGAACATTAGAAGACAAGACCTTTTTCTTATAGAAAATTTCAGTTGTACCAAAAGTTTGGAGAATCTCATTACTCCCCTTCAGTAAGCTTCAATAGTTTTTAACATTTTCCAGTTTTATTTCATCTAGGCCATGCCCTTAACATTAAAAAAAAAAACAACTGGAGTATTTAAAGGCAAATACAAAGCTCCACAGATTACCTGTGATTATTGGATTGTTGGAAAAGTCATGACACAGTTTTGCAATGAAAAATATAGAAAAAATACATCATGACTTTTCCAACAACCCAGTATTTTAGTTTTACCTCTAACAGATAAACAAGTTTTAAAACACAACACCATTATCACACCAAAGAACATATATTTTTAAATTATTTGGTTATATATGTACAAACTACATATCCATACATGTATGTGATATAGTAGAATTTGTTCCTGAAAAATATCCCATGGTGAATTTTGAAGAAAAGTGGTTGGAGCAAGTTAAGAACTTGTGCTTTGATTGGCTTCTGCGTGCCTCCCTCTATGGGATCAAATACTATTCACAGGTCTTGTGGGGTGGCCATCATGAAGTGTCCTGAGGCCACCGTGAAGGTGGGAGTGGACATTCTGGCCTGCACTTCTGGCAAACAAAGTTTCATGGTGGACAGGGGACAGAAGGGATAGGAGGTGGGAGGTGCTGTGGAAGAGACACGAAGCGTAGCAGTGAGAGTCAGGAGTGTGCCAGTGTTCAGCTGCCCCTGTGAACATGGAAATTTAGGGAGAGGGAACAGGTACACAGAGGTACACTGGGAACCTGATCCTTTAATACCCTTAGACTGCCCCTTAAAAGTCTTAGGGCAAAGATGTACACTACTCAGATTGACGGGGCAATATGATAGTAGGGATAAGAGCATAGACTCCGGAAGCCAATTTCTTGGACTTAAATGTTGGATTTGCTTCTTGTTGGCTTTGGAATATCAGGCAAGTTATCTATTTTTCTGTGCCTTAATTTCCTCATCTGTAAAATAAGGATAATGATGAGGACCTACCTAGGAGTGCCTACCTCATAGGGTTGTCTGGATGGTTATATGAGTTTTTACATATATAGCTCTCAGAACAATGCCTGGCACCTAGTAGGCCCTCTGTATACATCAACACAATGAATGTTATCACCATTTACAATGTCCATGTCAGTTTGTGGTTTCCTTTTTGTTTGTTGGTTGGTTTGAATGTGACTCAGCATACAGAGAGGGCTATTTGGAACATAAGATGTTATTAGGATCATATGTGTTTACATGTATAAATGTACATGTAATGGCATAATTTCTATGCTAAATATCCTTCACTTGTTCTGTTTAATTAATATCTAAATGATGCTGCAGTTTTGTATTCAATTGTCCTACTATTGAGAATCTTATCTATTTAAAGTTTTGACCCTGCAATTTTAAGGCAAGTGCCTTTGATTCAGGAGACATTTGTAAGCAGGGCAACTTGTTTTTAGAATGAAGCCGTTGCTAGTCCCAGGCCTCTGCTATTAGCACCTCAAAGGAGGAATTGTGTCCTTTTTCTCTTTCCTTCTTCTGGTTTATTAGAGTTACAGACAAAAGCGGGACTGTCACAGATGATATACTAAGAAAATGTGCTAGAGGAATGATTAAAGGAATGATTGAGTAAATTATTGGCTAATGAATAAATAACTAGAACGTATTCAGCCATAGAGATGCCATTGCATGATTTCATAAGATCATGTAATGATAAAATGATAAAAATAAGATCCCCAACACCACCAGCCTGTTGCTGCAAAATATGGTCACTTGCTGTATTGATCAAATTATGGTCACTTAAGCCATCACCACCTCATTCTGGAAACTAGTCCCTTCAGTGCACTGCCTCCCTCACCACCAACTTATTTCTGTGAATCTCCTGAGGGTCTTCCGTGTGTCCACATGCCTGTCTGGCATCCTTAGTCCTCACATGGTATCTTCCCCACTCTCTAGGTTCATTCTCCTGTGGCCAGGGCCCTTGAAGACTATCAGGGAAGCCTCACTGCCAGCGGACAGATGCCAACATCCATGCTAAGTGGGCTGACCCTGGATTCTCTCAAAGCTTCCAGTCCCTAAAGTGACCAAATTCCTGAAGTCCTTAGAGAAACAGGAGACTCTGGCTCCTCCCTAGGTCTTGCCACACTTCGATGCAGGTCTCTGAGGGACAGCTGTTTAGTGGAGTCCCACGGTTCTTTTAGGGACCGGCTCCTCAGTTCCTAACTCCCTCAGATTATAGATGCTTAAATGCGGGCTGCAGGTCTGCACAGGACACAGATGCTATGGTACCTGCCCTGCTCTCCTCCACTTGCCTCTAGTCCGCTCTCCTCTCTCTCTACAGGTACAAAGAAAAGGCTCCTGGGCCTAGCAGTGAGTGGAAGCATCCAGGAGGTAAGGTTGCATGGAGGGGGTCCTCTTCTCCAGGTTGTGGTACTCTAGCATGTGGACCATCAACCATCCTCAAATGCTCTCTTGTACAACTAAGAATAGCAATTGTCTACTGAGCTTGTGTCAGCAGATACAAAGTTGGTGGCAGGTGTGTAACATACTTTGTTTCCCCAAAAATAAGACCTAGCTGGAAAATAAGCCGTAGCATGATTTTAGGTGCCAAAATATGGCACCTTGGCATACTGAATATTTCAAGCTGAAGGAGTTTGTGGAAAAGGTGCCCTTCTCCCTGAACACAGGTCATAAAACCCTCATGTGAGGGGTGCGTGCTCTCCGTGTCCTGGAAGAATCATGCTACGGCTTCTTCTCCGGCTAGGTCTTATTTCCAGGGAAACACAGTAGATTAGCTCTTGCATCCTCCTAGCAATGATTCTTTGTATCATGTATTGATGAGGAAAGTAAGGCCCAGGGAGGCTTCATCTCTAACCCAAAGTCACATTTAAGTGGCAGAACCAGAATTCAGACCCAGGGCTTTCAGACTGTAAAGTACTATATTATTTTATATAATTTGAAAGTCTGAGCTCAGTGAAAGGAAAAAACACACACTGTCCTGCAGATTTCTTTGAGTCATCTGTTGATTCATCTGCCCATGGATCTAAAGCTTTATTCTTAGGGCCCAGGAGAGGGAGATCCTGGCCAGCCCGACTCCTAGCCCTTTACCTCAAGGCCTAACACTGTGCCCGCTTGTAGTCCAGGCCCTTCCCAGTGTGACTGAGCTGACAGTCCCTTGGCCCCAGCATTTCCTAAGGCAGTGAAATCAACCTGGCCTCATTCCTGCAGGCTGGGGGTCTCCTCAAATGCCAAACACATGTGCTGGTCACCTACGTTTGGTGGTACCTGCCTACTCTTTCTCAGTAGGCTGTGCTGGCAACTAGACACTTTCCCTATGCTTCTCGGTGTAAGAGTTGCCCACATGCCCAGTTTCCAAGATTGGTTCTGCATTGCTTCAAGTTCCTGAGCTTGTCCAGGAGTCTACCCACCCCCAGGGCCTTGATGTTGGCCTAAGTGTCCAGCCCATGGCCTTTATGACCACTGTCCTTAGAGACAATGCTGCTTCCCAGGTCTCCATGCCTACTCCAGGCTTCTCAGTTCTTGCTCTCACTGGGCTGGGTTGGGATAATTAGTTCTAGCTCCAGAACACATTCCTCCCCAAGCAACCCTGCCAGAGCTTGTCTTGCTCGAGAGGAAAGCCCAGTCCAGGCCCACGATGTGCCATGCTTAGGTAGACAAGCCCTGCAAACATGCTGCTCTTAGAGGTGTCTACATGGCAATTGGGAAAACATTTTGCAGACTCCCACAGAGTCAGATCTGGGGGTCGAGGGATGCATCCAACCACCAAAGGAGCCAGGAGGCCAGCTGAGCTTGGATGTGTGTCAGGAAAACTGGTCTGTACCAGTAAACTCACAGGAATGTCAGCAGGGAGTGAGGGTCAGCTTGGCTGTCGGGTAACAGATTTTATTTACCATTTTCAAAAGAAGAATACTGCATGCAGACTGGAAGGATACAATACTCCCTGTGGAGGGCAAACTTGACAGAGCAACCCTCTCCTGAAACATGGACTGCAAAGGACCTGTTTGTTCAGTCTGGGCTCACGGCTTCTTAGAGCCCGCCTTTTAATATTCTCTGGGTTGGGGACTGCACACCGGCACATCTGAGTAACACCTGGACACACAGGCTCAGAATCAAGAAAACCATATGTGTATATCATTGTGTAAATAAGATCACTGGCGTGTTCTAGTGGGGTTATTAGAGAGTGGCGTGAAATGCAAAGAACTGTTATACTTTTCTCTCTGTGTTCATGTCTATATTTCTTTAGGTTTCCTTAAAGCCAGACAGAACCTCTTTGTTTTAACCACAGAGGCCTGCATGTCTTCTCTCTTGGGGAAGGTGGTCACAAGCTATCAAGGTGGCCCCAGCTAGAAGACAGTGCTGAGGAGCTGGGAGCCCATAGACCAGGTTCCTGTCACCAAGCCCGGTGTGGCTTCTAGCAATCATTCCTCTCTTGGGAACTCACTTTGTCATCTTGGCAAATGGAGGCTTGGACTGGAGGTGCTGCCCAGCTCTGGTCCTCTCTGATGGCTGGCCAGGGCTGCTCAGGGGACGTGGTGGTGATGGCGGGTGGGGCGGGGGGATGGAAAGGAAGTGTGTGAATGAAGGGCAATGCCATCGTCCAGCTCTGGCTGCTGCAGATCAGTGGCTGCACCCTAACCTCCTGGGATGCTTGGCAGAGTAGCTGAGAGGTTCCTAATACTTTCTGAAAAAGTTGCTCCCCAGTGAACTGGCCTGCAGAAAAAAATACTTCACATGTATGCTGCTGTGCACTTGGTTAAAGCCTTGTCACCATTACTTATTTCAGCATTCACCGTAGACCTGTGAGCAAGGTGGACAGGACTTACTTTCTTCATTTTACACATGAGCAAGAGGATGGTCAGGGAGTTTAAACAGCTTTCCCAAGGTTTCACCATGTAAACAGAAGAGCTGTTTAAATGGAGGTCTACCCAGAACTCAACCCTGACATCCTTCTAATGCCTGTACTGTCTCTTCATGGACCTCTGGTAGGGCAGCTCCTTAGAGAGAGAACGTGAAGCTGTGCCTGATGCCTCTAGGGCCACTACTGTGGCCCCAGTTTGGACATTTCCAGGCCCAGGGCAGCCCTGGAAGGAGCACCTTCCCTCACTCCTGCAAAGCCCATTTTATCCCTCTGTGTCCATGGTCCCTCGTGGGCGAAGCAGGGGCCCCACAGACTCTGCTCATACACCATCCCCCAGCTCCCCAGTGGCTTTCAGGCACAGTCCTGCAAGCAGCGTGTTTTTAGTGCATCTTTACCCTTTCTTGCCACATTTACTCTCCCTCAGCCTGCAAGGTTTGCTGACTTCCAACTTCAGCCAGCACTGAACCTCCTTTTTCTACTCCTGCTCTTAGCTGGAGGCTTCAGGATCCAGGTTCTAGTTGGTCTTGTCACAGGTGGCCAGGCACCTGCTCCTTGACTAAGGATGTTGAGGCCTCAGGAAGACCCAAGAGACTGTGAGGTCTGGGATTGGTTAGCTGGCTCCATGTAGATCCCCAGCCTCTGCAGAACAGGGATCATCATAGCTGTGCCAAGGATCTGGGTGATGGGGAAATATTTGTCAATTGCTGCCAGAGCCAGAGCAACCCCTTGCCTAAGGCGCTGTCCAGAGTCCTGCATATGGAGGTTACACCATTCCACAAAAAGGGGTGACCTGAGGGAGCAGAGTGGGGAACATGGAATGGGGAAGGGAGAGGCCATGGGACACTCTAGAAGTAAGCCTTACTAGCTACACTGTTCTTCTCAAACTTTTGCCTGAGCTCAGAGACCAGAGCTGACTGCCTGGGGCTTCCCAAGGACTTGGGTTTGCATGAACGTTGGGGCTGAGGAGGGGTGAGTGAGCCAGAGACTGTAGGTACAGTCCAAGGGGCTGTGGCTGTGCTGGGCGCCATTCCTGGTGGTGGAGGGGGAGCTGGAGCTCTGGGGGGCGGGGGGTGTCCTAGGCTGTTGCTGCAGTTTTCATTGGGAGAATTCTCTTGGAGCACAAACTTGGCAGCGGCCTTGGTCCTGTTGAACTTGAGCCACTCGATGAGGACAGGGCGGGGTGCAGGGCTGGGACGCTTGCGGAGCACACGGCGCACTGGCAGGACCTTGTTGGACTTTCTGTTGCGCCAGAAGGTGGCCGTGGAGATGAGGACGGTTATGGCCACGATGCCAGCCATGATGCCGGCCAGCACACCCACAGCCTTCATGGGATTGTCTTTGGTCTGCATCAGGAAGGCATCCATGGGGCTTCGGGACAACATCTGGAAAAGAGTGCCAGCCCTGCATTCAGCTGCTCCTGCTCGTCCCTGGAGGACACAGCAGGGGGTGTGAGCTCCCTTAAACCTCATGGTTTTCAAACTTTCTGGCATCAGGCATCCCTTGAGAACTTGTTGAGCACTACGGGTTTCATTCCAGGAAAAAAATGCACACAGAGAACACACAACGAGTGCAACTCACCAGAAAAACAACTCACCGAGAGAGAGCATGATGCAAACGCCCTCTTTCCGATGAAGACCTCCTGCATTATCTGGGCTCTATTCTCCAGAGAGTAGGATATCTCTTACCTTTGATTATGAGGGGCTGCATCTGCCCAAATGCATCAGGAACCCCTGAGTGATGACTTTCTGCCTGACACTAGCTGAAAACTACACAATGTGAAGGAGACATTGCTATTCCCATTTTACAGCAAGGGAAGCACTTAGCAAAGCCCAAAGTCACCCTGTTACTAAGTGCTGAAACTAGGACTTCAACCTGATTTCAAAGCCTGTGTGTTTGATGGCACAGGAGGTTTTGTTAGCACTGAGTGTCCTTTGAAAGAAGGCTGGATGGAGATGGTCTTTCTCCCTCTGGCCATGCTGCAGCGAGACCAGAGTTGGCCTTCTAACCCTCTTCCCGACCTGGGCTCCAAACCCACCTCAGTGTCTGTGATGTCAATCTTGAGTAAGGCTGTAGTGCTGAAGGATGGGGACCCACGGTCCTTGGCCTGCACCTCCAGGGACCACGTGTAGTCCCCATTGGGTGTTATATTGTGCAGGGCTTCCAGGGAGTGGATGGAGTTCTTGAGCCGGATCTCTCCGGTGTGTGCGTTGATGTCGAACACATTAGCTGGCTCCGCGTGGGTGATGGAATAGTCCACCAGGTTGTTGGGTTCCTCTGCGTCCTGGTCCATGGCCTGTTGACAGGGAGGGACTGACATGGCTGGGCTTCTGGAACAATACTTATGTACCCTGGTTAAACCAACATATCATATGGGGCATGCTGGGTTGATGGGAAATGGTTTTGGCCCTACTGAGTAGATTGGAGTTGGAAAAGGAACTGAAAGTGTGCTCTACTATGAGCCAGGGTCTGTGCCAGGCCCTCTATGAGTTATGCTGCTCCCTTCTCAGAACTATCTAGGCAGTAGATATTGTTGCAAAACGAAAGTTTGGATCCTAAGTGACTTGTCTAAGGACAGGTAAGTAGAAGGAGGGGAGATGGGATTCAAAGTCAAATCTGTAGAGTTTCAGAGTCCATGTTTTCCCACATCGGGGAGACAGTGTAGTACAGAGGGAAAAACATTGCTTTGAAAGCAGTCTGACGAGCTATGTGAACTAAAGTAAACCAACACTTAACCTATCAGAGCCTCAATTTTTTCTTTTATAAAGTGGCAATAATATCTTCTTTTCAGAGGTTATTTCTGGGTTGAGGTGGGAATGGGGTATATAAAAATCTTTAAAACCCTGGCGCAGAGTGAGAATCCAATACATTTTAAAATAAATTCTTATGCCACAAGGTCTCTTGTAGCTGCTAGAATAAGGCTTTTAGGGGAGCTTAGCTGCCTTGGAAGCCCACCTCAATTTTCACTGGGGTCCCCAGCACCATTGTCTTCTCTTGGATGCTCTTTCCAAACTGGGGGTAGTGGTCATTTACATCCAGCAGAGTGACGAACACCTCAGCCAGGCTGTACCTGCCCTCCATGTCCTCTGCCTTCACGTAGAAGTTGTACCTGGCAGTGGCCTCAGCATCCAGACTGGCCCAGGGCTGGGTGTAGACAATCCCAGTGGATGGGTGGATCAGGAAGCTGCCGGGCACAGAGAACGCAGGCAGGAGTGTGTGCGCAAGGACATGCCCAGGCACATGTGTGCACGCACACATGGACGTACACGTGCCTTCATGAGCTGCCTCAGGAAGTGGCAGCAATGCCTTATGCAGCTCCTCTAAGATGTCCCACCTGCCCCTCTCCCCATTATTGCAGTCTGACTGAGGGAGGCAAGTCCACCCATCTACTCACTCATCTGTCAACATTGAACTTAACGATCCAAGGCATAGCCCTTCCTTCTCTTCCCCTGGTCTGCTCCTCCCTAGCCCAGCACTGCTTGCCTGACTCCTGAGATCATGGGACCCAACTCCAGGCCATCATGGTGACCCTTCCTGTCTCAGATCCCAGCATCTCACTGAGAGTCCCCAATACTTCTGCCTCAGGCTCTGCTTCCTCCCACTCCTTGCCCCCAAGCTTGGCTCCCTGACCTAGGTCTTGTCCTTTCTAGGTTCCTCCTGCTCATCCACCGTCAGCCTCAGCCTCTCAAGTCCCTTGCCCAAGGCCCTGTCTGGGATCCTGGATCGACTTACAGGTCTGCCCCAGATCCATAGATGGAGTATTTGACTTCACCCCAGGGACCTGTGTCCGGATCCATAGCCTGGAAGAGAGAAAGTTCCCAGTGGCCCGTGCCCCTTTTTCTCCATATGTTGGCAGCTCATGTGTCTGAAGGGTGTCAAATGACGAAACAAGGGATGTGGGGGGTTGCCCAACTGGGGAGAATCTGATCTGGGGACCTGCTCTGGAGCCCTAGTTTTCTGCCCAGGAAGTCTCAAGTGTTGGCGAAACACTGGATCTGGAAGGCATGTATTCCTCCTTTGTAAATGAGGAAGGAAAAAGAGGTGAGTCTCGTTCCCTGAGTTTGGGGTTCACACTTATGTCTTCCTTGTAGTCCAAGAAGCGCTGCTATCCCCATTGTATAGAAGAAAAACAGAGGCTCACAGAGGACATGTAGCTCATTCATGGACACAGCTAGAGTGTGGACTTTGCAATTCAAAGTGGAGCCCAGGTTTGTCTGACTTTATAAGGTCCCCTTTGGTGGAGTTCCTAACCCACCCTCAGTCCCTGGGCCAATCCTCAACCCACTGTGACAGCCAACACATTGGAGCCCCCTGGGGCATTCTCAGGGATTCTGGCAATGTAGTAGTGGGAGGTGAACTTGGGGACATTGTCGTTGGTGTCTAGGAGCTGGATCACTACATCCGCTGTGGAGCTGAACTTCTCCGAGGTGTTCACTTCAATGGCCAGGAGCTGGGGAAGAAGGAAAGCGAGGACTTGTCTGGGTGTCAATCGCCTTGCAGAAGACCTCCTACTTCCTGTCTCAGCCTTGACCCCCCACCCACCTACCTCTTCTTTCTTACTCTCAGATGCTATTCCCACCACCACCTGCAGGGGGCACCTGTAAGGCATTCCATCATTTTCCCCCACTGACTCGCAATGCCAGCTTTCTTATGCAGTAGTTCCCAATTGTTATTTCCGCTCATTTCTTTGGTTCCGCTCAATTGAATGTTCCTTTTTAGTTCCAACTTTAAAAATTTATTTTGCTTTATGATATAATTTAATATTTGTTAGAGCAAGTTCCTGCCTAGTAGTTTAAAAAAAATTTTTTCTGACTATTCTTATAGGCTTATTTCTCTAGATAAAAACCAGTGTAATTGTGTCAAATCCTCTCACCACCTCCCTGAAGGAAATTCTAGCTAATACTTAATTGAGGTAACATTGGATTCTTTATTAATGAAATGTGCTTTTTTAATAGGGTGTTCCTATACATTTCTTGTCTTCTTTATATTCTTTTGTTAAATTTTTGCATTTTTTGTCATCTAGATACTGCATATTCATTGCTATGGTAAATCCTAAGAATTTTATCTGTTAGTTGTTATTGTAAAAGAGAATCTTTTGTTACATTATTCTCATTGCCAATTTTTGAATGTAGGATAATTTGGATTTTGTGTATTAACTTTGTAACGAATCATGTTAACAACTTTGCTGCTTCTAACAGTTTTTCAATTTCTCATATTTTTTTCTAAGCAAACAATCACATCACCTACACATAATGATAAATTTGTCTCTTCCTTTCTAATGTTTATACCTCTCATTTCCTTTCTTTATCCAGGAATAACGTTACTCCAGGAATTGTGTTAAATAACAGTGGTGATAGCGAATATCCGTGTTTTGTTCCTGACTTCATATAATGCTTTTAGAATTTCACTTTTAAGAATGATGCTGGCTATAAGTGTGTATGTGTGCATAGTTATAAATAAGGATAACAATTTAAATAATATTAATGAAGTATTTTTCCTTTTTATTAATATATATTATTTATGTTTATGTATAATAGGCATTGTTTATATGTTTATAATTTTAAATAATTACAAGTACGAAGGAGTATTTTTTCATTTTCTGCTCGTTTTTATCAGAATAGATGACAGATGTCAAATGTATATGAGAAAAACATTTATCTTGACAGTCAAATCGTTTTTCTTTCTACCCCTATTAACAAGGCACATTATATTGGTAGTTTTCCTTTGAACCTCCTTGTATTCCTGGAGATAAGTGTGGTTTAGAAGCTGGAGCTGAGAAGCTGTGGAAGCAGTAGGAAAAGGCTTTTGTATCACTCTTTGTCTCCCTCCCCTTTTTGCTCTCCAAATCAGCAGGAGAGGCAGAGGGACTGAGAGGAAAAGAGTAAGGTCAGAAGGGGCAGGGGTGACAAGGGACCCCTCAGAAATGAATCCAGGTGCTGGGACTCCCCCCCCCCCCCCAATCAGGGCCATGCAAAGCATCACCTACCTTGAAGGTTAACACTTTGAACTTTTCAAAGTCAATGGCAGCTGAGTTCTCCACAATGATCGTGACTTGGGCTTCATTCAGGACTGTCTGTGGGACCACCCGGAAGATGCCCCCAGGTCCCACCAGCTGCAGGTTGAATTTGGCATTGGCTCCCTAAGCCATAGAGTTTGGAGAAAGCAAACAGGAAGGATGAATGAGAATACAAACTCATTATATATTCCTGTTAAGCAAGGAGCCTTCATATGCCTTAAACTTGGGAGGTAAGTATTGTTACTTCTTTCTATAGGTGAGGTGATCAAGGATCAGAAAAATTTAGCAGGCTATGAGGACTAAACGAGGGAAAATCACACAGGCCTAGCACTGTGCTGGGCATAGGAGGCAGCAGGACACATTCACAGATGCCTGGCTGGTGGGTCAGATGCAGAGGTGCTTTTGTTTGATTGCCTTTTATTTTTTAATTGATTGTGAATGTCTTTAGGCCAGGCAGGTAGTCTTTGATTAGCTACGCTCCCACTCTCTCTCTTGGTTACACCCCCTCGTTTCATTCATTTTGTGACCCTCCGGGCCCCTGTGACATAAGCATGAAGGCTGATGCAGACTCAGCTTTGGGAACTTGGCTCCTTACAATCTGCAGGAAGGCGGGATGAAGGGCAGGGCCACACACCTGGTCTGAGTCATTGACGGTGATCTTCAGTCCCCGCAGGATCTCCCCCTGGGGCGGGTGCTCATACATGGACAGCTCAAACCTGTTCTGGGGCCCACTCTCTCCATAGAATGTAGGTGGATGGTTGTTGAGGTCCACGATCCTGATGGTGACTGGAGCCATGGCCTGGGCAGCTGGGCTCCCTGCGGAGCTGACCTCAGTCACCTAAGATGGGGACAGGTGGCTAAGGTTGTGTGATAGGCTGACTCCAAGATGGCTCCAATGATCCCCACCTCTTGGTATTCATTCTTGAGTAATCCCCTCTACTTAAATGTTCCCTGGCCTAGTGATTTATTTCTCACTGAGAATATGGCAAAGGTGATGAGATATCACTCAGTGATCAGATTACAAGAGATTATAACTACTGTCTTCTAGCAGACTGTTTCTTGCTGACTTTGATGACGCAAACAGCTATGGTAGAGAAGCCCATGTTTCAAAGAACTAATGGTGACCTCTAGCCAACACCTAGCAAGGAACAGAGGTTCTGAATCCAACAGCCCACAAGGAACAAAATCCTGCCAATAAACTTGTGAGCTCAGAAGGTGGCCTTCTTGAGTGGAGCCTCCAATGAGAACACAGTCCAGCCTGACAATTGGATGGCAGCCACGTGAGAGACTTTGATACTGGGGACCCAGATAAGGTGAGCCTGGACTCTCCTGATCCACAGAAACTGCAAGATACACATGTGTGTTTTTAAAAGCCACTAACTTTGTGGTAATGCATTACAGTAGTCATAGAAAACTGATACAGTGCTGTCACTATCCCTGTTTACCAGATGAGGCACAGGGGGTGGGGCAGTCACCTGGGGTCACAGCTGGTGAGGAGCACATGTGTCTGATTCCGTGGTCAGTGCTCTCTGCCTCACCACACTGCTCTTTCTTTGCAACAAGACATGGGTTCATACCCTAGCTCTGTCACATTCTGTCCTGTGACCATTGGCCAGGGGGAGGCTGCAGGGAGGAGAGGTGTGGGGGTGCAGCCATAGGTAACTAACACAGTCTGCAAAGCCAGAGCCAGGAGCCCACAGGCACTTCAGGAACCACGTGGCAAACATCACACGAGCCCCTTTAAGGACCTCCTTCCCCTTGTTCTATTGGCATGCTCTGGTCTTACTAATCTTAAAATTTCCCTCCCGGGGCCACATCCTGTCACACCCTAGCTGCTTCCTAATTCTCCTTGCTCAGAGCTCCACCGGCTTATTCATTCCCTAGTTCCCACTCAATTCTCAGCCCGTCTGGAGCTCAGAGACTTCACACTGACGTCCATGCTGCATGAGGCACAACGACTCTCTCACCTTCCCAGGGGCTCTGTGCCCTTGGCCAGTGTGACTGCTCTCTTTGCAGTTCCCCTTGACCTCTCTGATCTCTCCTTCACCTGCTTCTCCTCCCTCCTCATTCTAAGCCTCTTGTCCTTGGCCCATGGCTCTTCTCACCCTGCAGCCATCCTCTGGGTGATCTCATTCCCTCCTATCCTTTTACAACTGCCTGTTTGTTTGTACTCTGTCCTCTAAATTCTAAGCCTATATGCCCAGGTTTGGTGTTTCAACTTGGATGTTCCTGAAGCACCCAAATTCACCATACCTGTCCTCCACTTGTCTCCTTCCCTGTGTTCCCGATGGCATGGTACCGCCCCAGGCTCATCCACCCCTGTCCTTCCCCCCACCCCTCACAGCCACTCAGTTGCCACATTCTGTGGAGAAGGCTTTCTTCATATTCTGCAGTTTGTCCATTTTTGCCATGCCGCCTCCCCTCACCCCCATGGGCCCTCTTCATCGATCATCTTGGCTGATGGCGCTGCCTCCCTGCCTCTTGTCCATTTCCCTCCAAACCCGAGTCAGGAGCGGTACTCTCAATGCTAAGCTGAGACTGGGCCAGAATCACTAGGAGCTCAGAACATGCAGAGTTTGGGCTTTACCCCAGCCACACTGCATCCCCATTCCCAGGAGTGGGCTCTAGAAATTGCTGTTTACCATGCTCTCTGAATGTGACAGCCCCACTGGTCTGGTGAGCAGCCTGGGTGAGCTTTTGTAACACGACTGTTTTCCTGCTCAAAACCTTTCCATGGCTCTTAATTGCTCTGGGTCAAGAGCAGTGACATAATTTTCAGGCCCAGTGAAAAATGAAAATGTGGAGTCCCTTGTTCAAAAATCATTAAGAATTTCAAGATAGCAAGAGCAGAGCATTAAGCCCAGCATGGGTCTCTTCTAACCATGGTCCCTGTGTAATGGCACAGGTCATATTATCATGGAGCAGACCTTGTCCTTGAGGAAATCCTATACCTCGTTCACAGGCCCATCACTGCTCTGGCCCCAGCCTGGCACCCAGCTGTTTCTCATCTCCTTGGTGCCCATGGACTCTTTGCTGCACTTCTACTTGATTCCTCATTGTCTCCTAGTACACCATGTGCTCTCCCCTCCAGCCATGGCTCACGGGCTTTCTTAGTTTGGAAAGACAGCACTCCATTCCCACCCCACCGGGGCTCCCTCCACCAGTCTCCATCTGTCTGGTCCTACCCAAGGCATAGATGCTTCGGTCCTACCTTCTCCTGCCTTGTTACAACTCTGCTTTGAGTTCCTGTCTCCCCCTTGCCGGGGGCTTTGTGTATCTGCTATAGCCTTCACACAGGGTACCTGATGTAGGTGCTCCTTGGAGCAATATCTAGCTCCCTCTGTGGACCGTGAGCCCTGGGGAATAATGGAGACAGCCTGGAGGGCTCAGGCCCTTCCAGGGCCAGAGGGTGGGGAAGGGCAAGCTGAGGGAAGTTACCTGTACATACAGCTCATACACCTCTCTCTGGAGCTGGGCAGGGCTCTGTGTGATTGAGATTGCTCCAGAAGTCTCATTAATTTCAAAGGCTCCATCACTCTCTATCACAAAAGAGAGACACACTCTGAAGTGCTGACCAGGGCCACAGGATGGTATAGGAAAGTTGTGCTAGGTAGGGTACCATACGCTCCTCATGCATTATCTCATCAACGTCTCCTCTATAGGATGTAATTCTGTCATCTGTGTCTTGCCAATGAAGACACTGAGTCTCAGAGGGGCTAAGTAACCATGTCCAAGGTTACACAGGAAGTGCAGAGCTGGGACTTGAACTCACTTCTGTCTGGCTCCCAGGATCTATAGTACTTTGCTTCTCTCATGTATAGTGTGTGCGTGTGTGTGTGTGTGTGTGTGTGTGTGTGTGTGTGTGTGATGAAAAGAGAAAGTGAGAAAGGAAGAGATACAGATGAAGGGAGATATAAAATGGAAGAGTGGAGAGAAGGGAAGGGAGGGAGGGCAGGAAAAGAGAAGAGAGGAAGGAAAGAGACTGGAGGAGGAGGAGAAGAATGGAGATGAGAGGGGGTGGGGTGGGTGCTTGGTAATTGTGTAAAGGTTTGAAGTGCTAGTGAGGAGGGAAGGCAGTCGAGGGTCTGCATGTCTGGCAAAAGGAGCCTGTGTATGATGGTGGGCAAGTTGATTCACGCATAAGCTGCTGGAGGAGCAGCGTGCACCAGGCATGCCCTAGGGACAGGGTTGGAGGAGGCAGCGGTGTCTGAGAACATATGGACATATGCATGTCTGGGATCAGGCGTTATGTGTGATGGCCCACTGAGGGGCTTGGCCCTGTAGGGACTAGCTACTGAGGGCTGTAGAGCCCACCCCAGGGCTGGCCCTACCTGCACAGCTGCTGCCCAGTTGTTGAAAGAGCCCAGGCTCAGAGTCAGCAAACTTAGGTTCAGACCCAGTGGAACTTTGGATGCCCATTTGCTTCTCTGAACCTGAGTTTTCTCACCCCTATATAGGGCTAGTACTAGGGATATGCCATATCATCATTACATTTAATTCAAATACATGTTCTAGGCCAAAACATTTACTATAATTTTAAAAAATGGCAATTTAAAGAACATAAGAAATGTTGCCATCCCTTCTTGTTAATGAGCATATGCCCAGGATAAAGGGACTATAGATCCATTCGTTCTCAGTTCCCAATGCTTCTCTCCCTGTCACTGGACATAATGACACTCGGGGGTCAGAGGACATGCCCACGGAGACTTGCTGCCTGATGGAGTGACCCAGTCTTTCCTCTCCATACGTTTTGTGCTTCTGGCCCTATAGATGAGGGAACTGGGGCGCAGAGAGACTGGGGAACCTGCTCTGATTGCCTGGGGAGTCAGAGCTCTTGCCCAGTGATGTCCTGTCCCCGAAGCTGACCCAGACTTACCGCTCATGAGGCTGTAGAGAATGTGGTTGGGTTTGCCCCGATCTCCATCCATGGCGACCACTGTCAGTACCTCCGAGCCCTTGGGAAAACAGAAGCAGCTGCTTGAGGCTCATGGGTGATGCTAGGGCTCTCCCTTCCCCAGACACTGACCCCATCACAAAGGGGAGGTGCTGTCGCCAACCCAATCCTTGCTCTGCAGGAGCTCAAAGCACCCACTGGCCTCCCAGGGCGAAAGGACAGCCTGAGCCCTGCTGCTTCCTTGTCCACAGGGGTCAGCACATGGGCTGCCCAGGGACTCTCAGGCTTTACACTTCACACACTGCCTCCCTTCCCACACACCACACTCAGCCCTCTCCTCTACTGCCCCGGCCCTCCAGCCTCACCCCCTCTGCCTCATCCATTTTTTGCCTTCAGAGATGCTCAGAGGGAGAGGAGAGAGACTGGTGGCCAGCACGGAGGGGGTGCAACGAGAAGTCCAAGAACTAGGATTTTACCCTGTGGCCCTGGAGTGCCATTTGAAAGGTTGGGATAGAGGTGCCACAACTAGACAAGGTCCGGCAGGACGTTGGCCTGCCACCCATTTCTAGGCTCCCTCCTCAGGCCCTTCTCCCTGGCCTGCCCATACTCATGGCTGCTTCCTGGCGGTCTGAGTGCCGCTTTCTCTTCCCTCAGCACCTCTGTCCGCCCTTAGCCCCTCAGCAGGACAGTGCCAGCCTCCGCCTGCCCCATCCTGCAGCCCCCACCAGGGCATCCTGGCATTTCTGTCCGTTGCTCTGTGCTCATCTCCACCACTAAGCTGCTGCTTCAGGTAAGGGGGTATTTTAGCTTGGACCCAGCATGTGAATGGTTTTCAGTAAGTGCTTTTCATTGTTTCACAAAGTCAGGAATAATCAAAACCAGGAAGTGAACATTGAAAACGCAATTCAATTCCACAGAGAGTACTTAAGCCACGGCCTTGTGAAGTCTGACTCTGGCCATGTCTCACTCAGAAGGGCGCTCAAGGTCGGCTCACTTGTCCTATAAATACAGGGGTGCATATCAAGGAAGGGGTGCTTATGGAGGGCTGCACCAAGTGTGGGAGAGAGGAGGCAGCTCTCAACCAGTGATGTCAGGGGAAGTGGTGCCTGGGCTGACCTGAGAGGGACAGAGGGCATCGGGCCCATGGGCACAGTTCAGGTAGAGGGATAAGGATGGAGTGGTGAGATGGGCTGGAGTGGGTAGAGGATGGTGAGGGGTCATGGATAGAGGGGCGGCTCGCCCTCAGATGCCAGGCCGAGGAGTGGGGCCTTCCTTAAGAGGCCAAAAGACAAATGCAGTAGCCAAAGCACCGGAGGCAGACTGCACTGAAGCGGGGACGGCTGAGGCTGGCCTTTGAGCTGGGCTAGCGAGGGTCATGGTGGTTCAGGAGCAAACTGTGGGAGAACTACTGGTCTGAGGGGCCCCAGGCTACAGGCTCAGGTCTAGGGAGGCACAAATACACCTGACCACCTATATGAGGTGTAGGAAAGGCCCCACTCAAACCAAGGCTCAACTGTCTTCTTAGCCCTTCTGAAGGGCCAACCTTTGTAATTGGTCTGGGGTGTGTTTAAATGAGGGGAGAAATGCCTGGTACAGTCTTGGCACCCAGTAGGTGCCCCACACATGAGCGCCCACTTCCTCTCCGTTATATTTCTGAAGGCAAAAAGACCTGTTGGGTTAGTGGCTTGAGTGAGTCCAGAGCCAGCCTCTGTGGGAGGAGGGTAACCTAGGGCTGAGCTCAGCCATTTCCAGCAGGGGAATCTCAGGGCAGTGTAAGGGACAAGACAGGAGGCATCAAGAGGGAACACTGGGCTGAGGGGTGCAGCCACCCACCGGAATGGTGTCCTCGTATACATAGCCATAGTAGGGTGTGCCCATGAAGATAGGAGCCATGTCCTGCACGTCCTCGACCTTGACTGTGACTGTGGTGGTGGCCGAGAACACCACATCAGCCCCTCGCAGCCTCCCTCCACCATCCTGGGGAAAAATCAGAGAATGAAGAGAGGTGGGGCTCTGGAGTGGACAGACTGGTGAAATCTGGCTCCGGCTACTTACTGGCCATAAAGCCAGCTGCTTGCTCTGAGTTCTGTTTGCTCCGGTGTCACTTGAGATAATTCTCCCCTCATAGGAATGTTGGGGAAATTAAATGAGATGATGCCTGAAGAAGGTCTTCAGTCAGTGCCAGGTATGTAGGAGGCACTCAAAAATGTTCTTTTGGAAACAGGGGTAGTTCTCTTTCCAAGGAAATGATGTTGTGCAAGCGGCAGAGGAGGGAGTCAGAGCCACGTTCCCTCCTAGCCAGGAACCAACCCTCAAACACCCCCTAAGGACCTGCTAAAGCATGACTACTGCCCGGGCTGAACCGCAGAGCTGTGTCCTGGGCCCAGCCCTCACGGAGAAACTGCAAGTGGGCCTGGGACAGGCTGGACTGGGATGGTCTGTAGCCAACATATGACCCACCTCTAGGGACTTCCTGGAAAACTAAATGCTGGGCCTAGAGAACTGGGGTTTCCTGCCCTCATGGGGAGAGGAACCACTTTGGCTGAGCACCTGCTGAGTTGCAGGTCCCACACAATGCACTTAAAAAATATGAGGAATTTAGTTAAGCTTCAGGGGTGGGCTGGTAAGGAAACTGAGGTTCAGAGGGGGTGACTGGTCACACAGAGAAGAAGAGGTGGGGTGAGCAAGACTGGGAGGGGCCCAGAGGCCAGGGTGTGGGGGGTGTGGTGGGATATGAGTCTCCAGGCCATGGCCGTCTGGTCCTACAGAGGGGAACCTGGCCTGTCAGTCGTGAGGAGGTATGTGCCATTGCCCAGGAGGGAATATGCTCTCTCCAGCCCATACCAGCCTCCCTGGAGAATATATTCATCTATGGGCAGGGTCCACTCAACACAGATTCTGAGCAGCTGTTCCCCACCCCATCATACCTCTGCTCTCCAAACTCTTTTGAAGAGCCCAACTCTGTTCCAATCCAAGGGTGGCTTCCCCAGCCTAACAAAGACTGAGGAAAGACTGGATGGGATGCCCCCCATTCCTTTCTCTCTGTTACCTTGGCAACCACGGTGACGAAATGGGCCCGGGCCTTCTCGTAGTCCAGGGTGGTCCCAGGCCTGAGGCGCAGCACACCGTTGTGGCGGTCCATGGTAAATTTGGTGGACTGCGTATTCTGTAAGAGTGAGGGGCAGGCTGGGCCTCAGGGGGAGAGCCCGGACGGCCCCATAATGCCCCCTCCGCCTATTGAAAGGGGATCGTCACTGTCCTTGTCACAGGAACTCGGACCTCAAGGCTGAGGTTCAAACTTCAGGGCATTCCGCCTTTCTGACCCTGGGGATCCCCCTTCCTCGGGCTGTGGGCTCAGCTCCCTCTCCCTTAGTTAAAGCAAAGAAGTTCCCTTCCGGCAAGGATTTGGCTATTATCTCTGCTTAGCTAGAAAACAATTGGGACCAACTTTGGGCTAAGCTCTCGCCAGGAGGTTCCAGCAGGGAGAAATGTCAGTAGAGTGCTCTAATTTAGAGGCCGTGGAATCTTCAAATCCCACTAAGTAAGTGACTGTGGGCCAGTTCCAGGCAGCATCTGGTGGTGGGGG